GATCATCCCACAAGCTTTGCAGTGCTGCCGAAATGCTCTCGTAATCCAGGGAGTTCTTGGTTGTCGAAAGAATGTCGCGTTTCTCCTCGGCAGTCAAACCTGCAGCCTGAAGCAGACGCCATCCTCTAAGTACTCCCATCCCAAACGAGTCAGCAATGACCAGCTCATCAATGGTCTGAGGGGGACCACCTGCATCGGGACTGCCAGCCGAAGGACCTGCAGCTGCCTCTCGAAGTGATGCAGGGTGATGACTGGGAGAAGATCCGGTTGCGCCTGTCGGACCTTCAGGTGGACGAGGTGCACGCGAATCACCATCTCCCGGTGCTGAACCGGCTTGAGGTCCGAGTTCATGGGGCTCCGCATCATCGTCATCATCCTCGAAGTAGTCGTAATAGGTGCGATCCCACCATTGTTCTTCCTCTACCATGGAAAGTCCAAAGTCGCGGGACTCTTGGCTGATGCCCATCTTCTCCTCATGAAGCCGGATTATGGCCTCCATGAACTCCTCGTGGACCAGGGTTTCACGGACCAGGAAGTTACCAATGGTTTCACTGGGGTTTCTCCTGAAAGAGAAGTACTGCTGACAAATCGCCGCTGCGTTCGGCAAGGTCTTCCGAACCAGAGGGCTGCTGGCAAGTCGTTGCAGAAGTAGGCGAGTACCATCAGCAGAGTCGAAAGCCATCTTACTCCAGGACATCGCCAACAGTCTTGCAGGACCAGAAAGCTTGCCCAGCAACTTGCTAGCGCAGTGCCTTCTCTTGGGAACTGACGTCGACTGGATAAACCAGCTCACTTCTCGGGTGTATCGCCTTTACGATCGTGCTGATCCGTCCCATGAAGGAATGCCTGAAACTTCTCTCGAGTCTGCCATAGCGCAGTTCGAGGTCTCCTTACGAAGAAGAAGAGCTGATTGACAAAGAAAAGGAAAATTGCGCCTGCTGGTGGAGTCGTTGGAGCTCGTGAAGGCAGTGTCCAGCAGAAAGAGCGCAACCCCTTGAGGGAAGGCTCCTAAGGCCCTGGCAGCTTATCGCTCCGCTGCCAATGCAACGGGTACGCAGCAGAAGTGATTGGGCTCAGGAATCGCACACATTCAGCGAGCACACAGCTCGGCCTTTTTCAGTAGGAGCGCAGAGCTCGCAAACGTAGCATCATTCGGGCTGAGTCCTAAAGAGGGCCCTCTAAAGGCTTGAGAGATAACATGAATCCGGAGCTGCTGAGATCGAGCCTCATCAAGCATGAACTGTTGCATCTTGCTTGAAGCACGTTCCCTTTCCCCGCCGTGCCGAGCCCCGGAATCAAATAATGCTCGATAAATTACGCGCGATAAGGATATGGGATTTTAGGGGTTGGTGCCCAGCTCGCGGTTGCCCTCAGCAGCAGATCGTCCTTTGATATCGTTTTAGATCGGTATCTTGACAGCGGCTCGATTCATGGAGGCGGAAGCACCATCTTCGCCTGACACAATCCGAGCGGAGAGTCCGCCAGGGCGCGCCGCAGCCGCAGCCGCGACAGCCACAAAGGCAAAGGCAAGGATACAGATCGTCGACACAAGCGGGGCAAAGGCGAGGGCATTAAGGCGCGTCAGGCGGCTCATATGGCAGAGATTAATACCAGAAAAAATGACATAATTATGCGCGTCATATGCTCGCTGACAGATTATCCATAATTTGGGAAAGACGGAGTCCCCAATTTTTATAGAATTGGCTACAGACCAGGCTATAATTTGACGCGTGCTTGTATTCGCAGAATCAACAAGAATGCTATAATTTCCTATTTGAGAGGAATGAACGATTCAAACGGGAAAGATTGTCGCAAGAGATGCAGGCTACGCCGCACGACCGACCCATATCGAGGCCGGCGCATAAACGAAATTGCCCATCCGGGCTGCCCTGCAGGCTCCATATGACCTCTATCTATTGCCGCGACAACGAGCCGCTTTGGACGCAGAAATGAATTCCGAAATATTCAGCATCAATACGCATTCCGCGTTCCCGCCGGGCAATCCGCGAGGAGCGACGAAATTCCCCGCAAGAGACGTGGTGTCGACGGAGGGCGATGAGATCATTCCAATGGATTATAATATAGATCGAATAATCATCAAGAAATATGTATATATATTCTTTCAGATCTTGACAAGGTATTATTGCCTCCCCATTGGATTGCGAGCCGAAAGAAGATTCGTATTGATATTCTCGCGGACCCGTAGATAGGCGCCAGAGAAATCCATATAGATAACGATATTCATTTATTAAGTCAGCAATCGATTTTCCCGATTTTTTATATCCAATTATTCTTGTATTGCGCGGGGTTGCAGCCAACGGAGAGCCGGCTCTCCGTAACGAGAATAATCAATTACCGATTGAAAGATCGGCGGAATCAATAGAAAAATCGTGAAAATATATATCCAGTGCATATTATACAAGGATAGATGATAATGTTTATTTTTTTTTTAGAAATTATGATATTAGATATCGAAATATGAGAATATAGATGAATTCTTCAAATTTCGAAAAAATACTAGTTATATGATAAATCTAGAGTTCTAATTGTATTCAGATTTTCTCCGGAAATTATATATAGGAATTTTTCTTATATATATCAAAATCAAGATTCAAATATATAAATATCTATCATATTCTATAATTAGTATCCGCGATATAATCCTATAAATAATGATATATTAGAAATTATATATCATCATACTTCTATTAGATATCTAATTTTCCTAATAGTAAATATAGATTCATCATAATTTACGATGCAGATATATTGAATTAAGAGAGATTCTAACATATTAGAGTGGACCCGTTGCTTACAGCAGCGGAGCATCGTCGCTGGAGTGTACGCGGAACGGCAAGCTAGCTGATGGAGAAGAAAATAATGCGTAGAACTCCAAATCCTATTTCTTCGCAATTTAATATCCTGCATCCTGAGTATGTTTTGGTATTTTGAAATTGAAGGCTATCCAGCTAGCAGCACTTGAGGGAACTGCGTACTAGGGGACATTGCCATATGTGGTTCCTCCAAGGAACAGAGGCCTATCTTGAGGCATTCCTGGTGGGGCGGAGCTATAGATTGGAATCCAAGGATTTGGAGAGACGTCTCAGAGTCTGCCGATTTTTTCTTAGGCAATCTGTTACGATCTATTTCTATCCCTCGTTCTACGCATAATCATACGCGTAATCCTCGCCGGACGCATGAAATTCTAATTTCCTCTCGAAATCCGAATCGTGACGTGGCTCTGCTTCCCTGGGTTGACAGAGCTAGAGGCTCTGTTCCCTTGATATTTCATGAAGCACCGTGTAGTAGCTGTTTCTCTTATGGGAGAGCATCAGGTCACTCTATAAAAATCTAATATGGCAACTGATATTCTTACTAGTCGTGGATATTTTTATCGCTAATCTTCTGAAGCTCGTCAGGTTCTCGCAAACCTGAAGCAACTTGCCCAGGAGCTAACAGGCCATAACAAATCTTCCCTGATCCCAATAATTTATTTAAATTTGTCGGATCCAAGCCCATTTCCCCCACGCACCCTTTCTCCTCATTTGCATATAACTTTTCCCCGCCCTCTTATCAAGCGTCCGCCAGAAGATTTATTATCGCATCTTTTATTTAGATTGAAGATTTCAGGAAAACGGCTAATCTATAGATTCTGAAAGATTTTAACTCTCCATCTCGGGTCTATATATTCCGCCAAGCCGCTACGTAGATAGCCAAAGAAAAAGATTTGATTCGAAATCTCGGGAGATTTTTTTTTCTCATGCGACTCAAAATCTCCGGCTCGATCTTTCAGCTTCATTTATCTATCTTCTGCCAATTGCTCCGCGGCGGATCGGGGGATCGCATAAATGCCCGTAATTAAATAGATGCAACCTATAAGCGCATATATTTAAAGAGAGATGAATCCCAAGAAAGACCGATCCGAAGGGCAAGGACTGCAGACAACCAAAAAGAAAGAAATGATTCGAAATCTCGAACGATTTTTATTCCTACGACCCAAACAATTCTGCCCCAGAATTTCCGCTTCATTTATCTCTCTTGAGAAAAAGAATTATTATACGGCGGATCGGTAAACGCATAATAGGCAGAGATACCTTCAGTCAATATTTTCCGTCGAATAGCTATGTCAATAATCAAAGAGAGAGAGAGAGAGATAATTCATATGGAAAACCATTCCTAGAGAAAAATTACGCAACCCAAAATCTCCGATATTTTTGTTCGCGTTACCCATATGAAAAAAAAATCAAAAGAGCTGCCAACTTTTCTGAAAAATTCTAAAATTTCCGCGATTTTAGAACTCTCTACGAAGTCTGCAAGGAAATATTTCAGAAAATAATCGCGTAACGATATTAAGATGTTTCTTAAATATACGAGATCATATTATTTTCCTAGATATAGCTCATAATTAATTAGTAGCTATGAATGAATTTCAGAAATAAATTTATAGAAAATCTTGAACTGAATTAATTTCTAATAAAGCTTCATTCATATCTTATGATATAGTAATTTCTTTTCCTCTATATCCTTTCAGAAAATTCAAAATATCAAAATATCGAAAACTATATATGAGAAGAAAGAAACCGCATAATCCAAGAGATCCGAAGATTCTAACTAGATATCTCCGCATTTTTTCTTTCTAATTTAAAATATTTCCAAATCTAATTAAGTTTTGAAATAATCCTTAGATTTTTTTTTAAGTCGCAGACTATATATAAATTCTTATTAAGATAATATTATGAGGATCAATAATGACTACGAATAATTTCTTTGAAATAAATATTTCCTAATCAGATTTAAATTCTTATATGTTTCTTCATTATATCTAATCGAATTGCTATGATTTTCATAATCTTCCTAATATTTGGACGGACGATAAATATTTCTTTTCAATATTCGAAAGAAAAGATTATAGAAACTTATTTTCATATTATGATGACTATATATATAGTATGAACGATCAAAGCTACAATAAATCTAGGAAAAAATATATCACATTTTTGTCAGAAAGGCGCCACAAACGAGCGGTCGGGTGAGATGGCTTTGCTACCTTTGAGCACAGTGCCATGAGATAGGTCGATGTCCTCGCTTGATGCCCGAGTGGATAAAGGCGATTCCTGAGGCGGAGCAAGGCAGCTAACACGAGGCGTCATGGATCGGTGCCTCTTTCTTCTTCTGTTGCGCTGCCGCCCAGGCAAGGATGGCCTTCCATCACAAAACACTCCCACCCGATGCTACCTGCTTCGGCCGCCTACTTCGAGCTGCCTCTTCGGTAGTGTTGTAGGTGAGTCTCGTCGAAACAGAACGACCGCGCTTCCCCTGGCTTTTGCCAGCTTCGGCAACATGCAGAACGTACGAAGATGTTCGCAAGTTCATGGTGTCTCCCCTCTCTCGGGGCTGTGGGATCTTGAGCGCATTGCAGGAAGCTCCACAAATGGCCCAGACGTAGCAGAGATCACCTGCAAACAGCTCAGAGTTGAAATGTCATTTCAAGAAACAGCATGGCTACAGTGTGACCCATCCGAGAAGCAAAGACGTAATTAGACCGTGGCACTGAAAGCTTTTGCTCTCAGTCCAGCCTTCGTTCGCACCTTTAGACTCTACAGTAGCAGCACAGTCTGCATGACACTAGAATTACACACTAGAATAGCAATAGCGACACATTGCAAGCATGAAGCTGCAGACCACCGCCTGTATGTCATGATCTCGCAAAAAATGCACAGTTGAGCGACCCCAGGCGCTTCGAACGATGTGCTGCAGCTTCATTGGACAGGGCACCGCTTCAATAATGTGTGAAGCTCGCCAAGCTCCCTTCCTTTGACCAGGAGTTTGCACGAACACCTGCAAACCTGCCTTTTTGGGTAGCACAGGCATGCTCGAAGCTGAGAACCACGTCTGAAACTCAACTGAGGAATAGGTGCGAAACAGACTTCAAGCGCAAAGAAACCAAGCATCCACAGGGACTTGCATAGAGTCTGACATACAGAAGCCGTCAGTATGAGACATGTTGGCAACCTGTTAGCTGAACCCTCCAGGTTCTGCTGAACTCAGCTTGTGTCAAAGCCACCACTGTGCTTGCCTTCAATCGCAGCTTTGCGCTTCCGACCAGCGATAAACCAGGCACCTGCTTACTCCGAAATGCGACATTAACAAACTTCTGCTTGAACTTTCGCCTGGCTTCCTGCCTGGGCCAAGCTGACATTGCCGCTCCAGCCTCATCAACTTTCTCAAAGGCCATCTTGCCGTGATCTTCGAGGTAAGGCTTGAACAGCGGCTGTCCCCACATTGCCGCAGCACGGTCCACCACCAGCGCTGCCTTCTCTAAATTCGGAGCTTCGATCCTGACAGAGTTTCACAGTACGCTCTGTTCAGTTCAAAAAGATTGAACGTTCGTCTGTGGCCCAAGGCTGAGCATGTGCCAGCGTACTCCCAGGCGAAAGTTCAACCTGTTACAACCAGCCTATCATAGCAGTATATAGCAGTCATAGCTGACCCAGGTGCCCAACATTCACCGTCTCCACAGGCACTTGCACCTGAGGGTGCTCAATTGCACAAAGCTACGGCTAGGCCCGGCTAGTGCAGAATTCAAAAACCCTGGGCCTGCTTGGCCAGAGCTTGCCGCAGAGCTCTGATCACATTGCTGTGTGTTCGCAAGGGGGACATGACGCTGTCAAAGTCAGTCCTGGAGACCACACTTGGAGAAGACACACCCAGTGACCATGCAAATTATTCGGACATAGGAGCCACGAGCCCGAATGCGGTCCGTTGTCGCCTTCTCTCCTCCACTCCCTCTACTTCCTCCTCGTCTCCACTCTCGCCCACCCTTAGAGTCTTAGAGCCCACGGGAGGCAAGCTTTTTCGGGTCTTCGGAGACCAAACCCCAAGCAAGAAGCGTATTTAGACCCCGGAAACATCTTTTATCTAGGAGCGAAATGATACGGGAACAGAGGTTCTTCGCGTGCAAACCGAACTGAGGTTGTCTTATGAGAACCACACTTTTTGCACAAGTGAACCTCAGGATCCAAGGGAAAATCTGAGCGGCTGAAAGGTTCTATCAGGATGCCCGTGAAGCATACGGCACTGAGAGCCAAATTATATAGAGCCTCGAAAGGCTCGAACATGCAACGGAGAAGCGGCTGACCATCCTGCCTGAAATTTATAATATGAAAGGAAGCATATCAAAAGAGGTCGCAGTAGGAAGTCCGCAAAAACATCCAAGCCACTCACGGCAACGTTGGAGAAGACGGTGTGGCATAAGCATTCCCGATCAAGGTTCTCCCGCGATGACTCGTGGGATTTTCGATCCCAAGTAAAAGACGCAAAAGGAGGCCCAGCCGCTGGATCTGGCTTCTTAGATGCAATTCGGCCAACGCGTGCTGCGGTTGAAAGACGCGCAGAGTACCTTTACAAGTAAACACGTCACAGCCCTTGCAGGTCAGACGTTTGTGCGATAGGGTGTGCGGAAAGTGGAAGGCTTGTGTTGCCACCTCCTCCATGCTCTATACAATCGCAGTCGCTGAAGCGATTCGAGATTTCGATGAGAGCCAATTCTGGTATTTGGAGCTCCGAATGCTCCAACACAAGACAGCAGAGAGAACAAGGCTGTTGCGGCTGCACCAGCCCTCCGGGTGGTCCGGCTATGGGAAAAGCCATCATTTCCTCTGCGCGTCAGTTTCCAGGAAAGGCATTGCTTTGTCTAACGAATGATCTCCTCTGTGATTCTTTATTAAGCCATCGATGCATGGTCTGACTGGGAAGTCCCAAATATCCAGCTGAAACCACAGGAGAATCTGCTTTTTGCGCTTAGGGTTTGCCAGCAAACATCTTGGGTTGAACAGTTTACCAACCAACATCACCGGTTGGGATCTAGGATTTGCCAGACGGGGTAGCCCTCCACCCTTGCACGCACGCCCCGAAGAAGAAGAGCTGTTTTTTTGTCGTGTTCTTTCGTTCATTCTGTCTCTCTCTCTCTCTCTCTTTTTCTCTCTCCGTTGCTTCCTTTCGCTCTGCCTTCCTTTGTGCCTTCCTTCACTCTTGCGCCTTTTCTTTCTTTCTTCTGGAAGCTTAGACAGAATTGGCTCTTATACGGAACGAACTGAGCTGCATATAAGGGTTGAAACATAGATTCCCGTTCGGTTTTGATTGATGATGATTGCTTGGTTAGTTGCTGATATTGACTTGTGGATACCTACCCTGCCAGCAAAAAGGCAAGAAGTAGCCACATCAACATGCGAAGAGAGCACTGACCAGAAACAAGAAGCAACAACCAATCGAAGCAAGAAGCACCAAAAGCGGAGTGCACAAGCAGTAAACACCCAGCAAAAAATGCAAACAAGGAACAGGGAACAAAATACAACAAACGAATTACAAGAAGACAAAGAGATGAAAGACACGTGTTTGTTTGCCATGCGGCTTTCGTTGGTCATGTGAATCTGCTCTTCTGTGGGGCGTGGCTTGGAAAGTGCACAGCAGCAAAACTGAACCTCACCCAACCCGCCCAGAAAGCTGCACCCAGACAGCATCAGAGCTGCTTTGGATGATCGTTCTTTAGCTGGCGGTCGAGCGTCCCCAGCACGAAAACATTAGATTAGGTTTCGAGACCGCGCACGCAGTTGCGGTTTTTCTTTCGGCGCTCACACTCGGACAATCCAGGCGAGGCATGTGGTCTTTGCGGTGAGGGCGTGCAGCACGTGCTGGAATTTGAGTCACCTCCCTGTCTCTCTCGTCAGCCTCCTCTCTCCTTTCTCTCCTCCTTCCTCAAGAACGCAAGCTTTCACGTGGGTCAAATGGGATCTGTAAATGTTAGGCCTGTGAAGGAACCCAGGCGCTGCGTTTGAAAGTGGAAGTCGCGAGTGGCACGACCAGACAATGCCTCAAAGCGACTATGGAACAACATCGCGCGCTTCCCGAACTACGTACAGCGACAAGCGATGAAGGGCTCGCGAATCCTGGCTGACAGCTGCAAGAGCAAACGCAACGCTTTCCAGACAGCTCCTAGACCTCCAGGTCCACAACTCTGGAAACAAGAACCCACAAACTGACAGAAATATACGCAACTCTTGCGCCTGATTGTGCCAGCGGTTGGCCTTGAGATCGAGTAGGGGAGCGGTTTGCAAGCGCTAAGCCCTTGAGATTCCGGCATGAACTCGAAGACCGTGACCGGCAACTGCAACAACTGCAAGTATACGCTAATAAGGACTGAGAACACATTCCTTAAAACACGCCCCGCCCGAAGATCCGACTCGCCGGAGCCATAGCGCCTGTTTGCTGCACTGCCAACTGCCAACACAGTTGCCATCGTTCAGCTCCGATTTGCCTGCAAATCGCCCCCTTGATGACCTCAGACAAATAAAGTTCAGTCCCAGTGAGCCTGATTCAACACAACAGGTTTGCGTACAAGCGGCCGGACAAGATCGTACATCCACGGCTCCGCTGCTTCCTGTGCGTCCTTGAGGTTCGCCACCTACATCATGGAAAGGACATCACTGCAAGCAGAGTTTTCAACCCAAGGGTCAGGCCTCGACTTCCAACTGGTTGGGTCGGCTTCCTTTGTCCATCCTGAAATGGCTGCAGCTACAGGGTAAACGCGGAGCCTGTATAGGCCAGGTGCGGTGCAAAACCTGGTTGCGCACGAGCGGCTCGAAGAAACGATACATCCAGGGCTCAAAATCCTCTTCACTGCCGCTCACTGCCTGCCGTCAATTTTTGCTGCACGTTTCCGGCATTTTTGTTTGGGCGCGAGCCACAAGAAGTGTTCTGAGCGAGCGCCGTCCAGGCCAACGAACTCAACACTTCATCGAACTTGTTTTAACCCTGTTTGTCCAACGGGGGGGAAGGAGGCGGCTGAAATGACAAAGATCTTCAACGCAATTTTTTCTACGTCATCTCTGGCCAAGCCCAAACCCTCACGGCCTCACGGCTTTCAGCGTCCGACCTTTAAATTATGCCAACCAGCCGTGCAATCTGCAGTCCCCCTTCAATTCTCTTAACACCCCCAGAACCTTATAGAAGACGTCTGTTTCGAGCTATGCATGCATGTCCGGTTGCTGTCAAGAGGCTCCAGGAGCTTGTACATCCAAGCTTCTTCTAGCCCTTCCTGGCAAGCTGCCGCTCGTGAATGCCTGCACCATCATCCGCGGAGGCACCCCGGCTACTTGGACAAAGTGCTTACTGTTTTGTGACGCATCATCCTCTAACATGACGGAAAGAGCTGCATGGACAGTCACGAAGCACACCGACAAGGGACATATTCTCTCCGCAGCAGCCCAGATGCGTCCGCTCGCGGCGCAGAGGGGCCCTGTCAAACTTAGAAAAGAACCGCTCTGCTACCGCTTCTATGGCTCAGGTGAACTCTTGACCACTGCAAGGTGGCTCAGAAACCCGAACCCTTTCTACAGCGCTTCACCTAGAGGGGCTAGCGCATTCCCGCATGACATGAGGAAACGGCGCAAACGCCTGTGTATGAGCGGGCTTTGCCACCGGCATGAAGCCTGGACCACGTCACAACACAAACTATGCTCTGACACCGGCCAACGTTCCCAACTGCCTGCCCCTAGCATCAGTCCAAGAAACTATTGCAGCTGCTGTGCGCAGCACAGCCTCTGCAAATAAGGCGCAGGGGTCTCCTGCCAGTGATCTCGTCTTGGAACCTCTTCAGCACATTCCGAATGGGCAAGAAATGCCGATTACATGACACTCCTGTCCAGCGCAGGAAACAAGCAGCCATTGCAGAATTTGTGGAGCGCAGTCAACGGCAAGTGTGGGCGTGAGTGCGGGTACTACGCTATTATTGATGTTGCCAGACCTGCTGACTAGTCTCAAGTGTTGGTGCTGCTGCTGTTTGAGTAAAGCACGATCACACCATTGCAGCGTTTGCAACCAAAACACTGAAAGACTAACAGCTCTGAATCGCTTTGAACAACTACGCATGCAAACCTGACCCAACGGCTTTCAGGTAGCATGTAGCAAGAGCTTTGAAGGCAAGCGACCGTTGCCTTCACCATGGTTTTGGTGCCAAAAGGACACGGTGAAGGCAAGCGG